ACAATGAATTTAAAATATTAATAAATTGTAGTATATTTAATGAAAATTCTATGAAGAATGATCCAAGAAATAACAAGTTTGAGAAGCAAAATTTTAAATTTGCAGTTTCAACAAAAGTTCTGTGTAGAGCTATTAAGAGCTTGGTATGAGATCCAAATTTTATCCAGTAATGTTCCCTGGAATTTTCCAATATTGAATATTTGCTATGTGTACACCTTTTTGTAAATGCTATTAAACCTAATATTTCTTATTTATCAAATAATTTGAGATATGCATAATAATAAGTAAATAACAAAGATTGTTAGAATTTTAAGATAAAGAAAATAGGTCAGCACATTGCCAGATGTTTTAAATCATTGCAATATAAAGCAACATCAGCTGGAGACCTCATGATATCTCAGACTCAGGTATATTCATAACATCAGAAGGTCAAAAACTTAAGAAAACAATCCTGATGAGCCAATGCCTATTACTTATAAGAGCAATTTACAATCTAATAGTATGTGAAAAGACAAGATTAAGAAAAAAAGAGTAAGCAAAATTATAGCAGTAGAAAGAATATCTAACATAATCTAAAATATGAATTTGTAGGGCAATTTCAAATTTTTAAAAAAAATTTTTTCTTCATTGATTTTAGATAGAGAGGAAGGGAAAGGGAGAGAGAAACTTCGATGACAGAGAACATCTAGTGGCTGCCTCCTGCATGCCCCCCACTGGGGATTTGGCCCATAACCTGGGCATGTATCCTGACCAGGAGTCAAACCAGCGACCTCCTGGTGCATGGGTCGACACTCAACCACTGATCCACACCAGGTGGGCTGAAGGGCAATTTTCTTAAGTAAAAGACTTTAATTGCCAAAAAGTTCATCATCAGTTCTTGTCAATATATAACTATCAGAATAGAAAAGTTATTCATAGAAAAACTCGATGCCCTTCACAAATTCAAATTTCACAAGGCGAGAAAGAAAATGTTTACATGCTAGTGGATTAGACTTAGATACACATACATTGTGTTAAGAGCTTATAGTGAAGCAGCACCTAACATCACATTCTAAAACAAGGTGGTGCTTGAACTGAACTTTGAAGGAAAAATAAGACTAAGCCAGGAGACGAGGGTGGGAAAAGGTCCAAGCAAAGGGTACAAAAGGCCCAGAAGCATGAAAACGTGCCAGTTTCAGAAACATGAATATGACTATAGAAGAATATGGATGAATATGTGATAGGAGGTGCCAGCTCATGAAGGCCTTTTTATGTTAATATAGGGACTTAGAATTTCATTTTGAACGTTATGAAAATACATCAAAGTCTTTTGAGGGGAATGAAACATTATGTAGATGCGCATCTATAAAATGGACGATGTGAAACAAGGAATGTCTGTAGTCTCTTCTATCTTCAATGGCGCATGAGCCTACATGTAGTGAAGTCCTGAACCAGAGTAGCGAGTATGAAGAGCTGAAAAGAGAGATGAGAGCAATCTCACAGGAGCTCTGGGAGGATTGCTGTGAAGTACTGCGTCTGGGTGAGAGTAGGTATGGTAACGCTATGAGCTGGCATGCGGATAGAAGAGAGAGCACAGGTTTGAGGGACAGGGGCAAGATGAGTTCAAGTTCTGAACATGTTAGGAGTTGATGTTTCTTAGGAAACTCTCTGATGTTAATAGGTGACCTCAGCCCTTAAACTTTCATTAGCACTGGGAGGAAAAGAACTACTGAATTCTCTCAATTTCCGTGATAGGTGGGCCAAAGTAATACTGCTCTCAAAAAATAAAAATAAATAAATAAAGCTGCTCCCAGGAACTACTTAATGATTAAGCAATTTGAGAACTCCTTCATCCAAATCCAATTCATTACACCCTTTATTTTTAATCTAACTACTTTAGGCTTAACACTAATATGACTTTGGTGAGAATTTCATGATCTAATTCATGTCTTAATCTGGCCTATTAATTCAAAATTCTAGTCACCCTTATCCGAATCCTTCCATAGCTACTTTTTTTAAAGCAAGCTCTTACAACCTAAGGAATAAAGCCTTTCTTTCACTCAATATGTTAGATATATGCTCAGAAATATATCCAGCATATTTTAGCATGCCCAACACCATGAACATAGCGGGCACCCAGTGTTTCTTAGGGATGGTGATAATACATGTTCAGAAGAACTTCCTTTTTCCTTTAGAGAGTAAAAGGAGAAGAAAGGCACTGATGGAATGTGACTATAATGTGAGTGAATACGTTTCATGAATGGTTAGAATGGAGGTCCACTATCGTTTTTTAGAGTTCTACTTTGTAAGATGTCCAAAGAGGAAAGATTGTCCATTGACTGTCTGTGGTATATTTTAGTCCTGAAGTTGTGTGTGTGTGCGTGCAGGTGTGTGCTTGAGTGAGGAGGTGAGATACCTCACTGGGAGGCTGTACTGAGAAGGGAAATGGTAAACTAGCCTCTGACTGTCAAGGGGATAACTGCTCCACATCAGCATGGCAGGATGGAGTGGAGACACCAGTGAGTCAGGTGAGCTAGACTGTAATTAGATTGCAGAGAGTCTGGTCATCAAACAGGAATGCATGCACACAGAGCAGTGACACACACTCCTCCTCAAAGAGTGACCTACATCAATCTGGGAGCCTTAGTCTTTCAGATGCTTCTGATTTTTGAAGTCCTCTCCTTCTCTCATCCAGGCCTCCTTCCCAATTCTCTTGGAACCTTAAATACTTGATATTTTCCCAAGAAAGCAAAACAGGACAAGACAGATTCCAGGGTAAAACATAAAGACATGGAGAATAAAAAATATAACATTCATGATAGTGATTTGTTTTAGCTGGGATGTATGTGAGTAACTTCAACTGTGAAGTTCGTGTTCTACTTGAACCGGATGTTAGGTACAGTGGTGTTTGTCATACCAGGTATCTGAAATTTTCATAATTTTCCAAAAGAAATGTCTAAAAGGAAAGAGGAACAGAAAGATCATCTGGTCTATGTCTCTACTTCTACCTGGTAAAAGACAGGAACTCTTCTCAACTATCCCAATTTTATTATAAACTGAAAAACTGTCAGTTCACAAACGAGACTATGCCTACCATCATTTTTAAGGTTAATGCTCACAAGTCAATTTTTTTTTTTAGCAAATGTTTAAATTACACACCTATGAAGCTGGATTAACTTCAGTGACTTCATCCATGGGTGTAACTCTAGTTGCATTGAACTCCTGAGTAGGAGATGCCCAACCTGTTTTGTTAGTATTATGACATCATACATGTTTGAATGACATATCATGAAGAGAGGTCATCGCCCTTAAATGCTCAGTCAGATCTGTGATCCCTGTGCTGCTGATAGGATACTGGTTTTTCTCAGGCTTCCTCCAACCTCCTTCCTCCTCAGAAGTCCTGCCCCATCTCTTCTCTACCTTGGCCCAGGGTCACTGCCCTTCTTATTTCCTACCTGAGCATGACTGTAGACAGAGAAACGATAAAAGCCATGTGTCATCTTGTTATAAAAGATATGACTAGCCACAAGACAGAAATGAGACAAGAAAGGATGAATCTAATGGCTAGAATTAGAACTGCAAATTATCTGAGTAGTTCATGTTTTCTACTTAGGACTTTCTCCCAAATGGAGACTGATTGGCATCATACCAACACATGGCTAGTTTGATGTCATCATGCCTAAATTGAAATCTTTGCTCTACTACCTCCTAGCTATGGGACCTTGGACAAGTTATTTAACCCCCCCTGGAAAATTGGGATACTAATAGTGTCTACCTTTTGAAGTTGAAATAAAGAGTGAATGAAATGATGGATGAAAATGCTCAGTACAGCACAGTACCTAGCGCTCAGCCAGAGCTTAATAAATGTTGGCAATTATTATGTGTGTTGATTTTAATTTTTCTTCCTACCCTTTTGATATCTAGGATCACCGATATCCAGGGAAAATCGGCTTCCAGGCCAAAGTCCTATCTGGTTAAAGTGGCCTCCATACCTGGAGGGAGATTTCTTCCTGAAAGCATTGGCTTCTTCCACCTACTCTCTTCTCCCTGCTCGCTTCCGGCTAGCTACCGGTGCCAAAAATGTGCCATAGCGGAAGTCAGGAGTTGCTAAACTGGTTGGTAGCTTATTTTGTTTTTATTTATTATATTTATTGCTACCTTCCATGAACAGCTAAGAAACCAGAGACCCAGTGGCTGAGCATGTTTCCTCCTTCAAGGCTGTCTAGTCACTTTTTCATCAGGGTCCTCTGGGTTGGGGGGGGGGGTGTCATTTCCCCCAGAAGTAAATGAGGCCAAGAAGGTTGATGGCAGTCTGGGGTGGGGGGCTGGAGGTAAGGGTGTGTCAGCTCTGGCATCCCTAGTCTTAGACATCTCCTCGAGCGATCCCGAGTAGAGTTGGAAGCATTACGAACTGCTAAGAAAAGGCTTGAGGACGAAAGTGATTCTGCAAGATTAGAAAAGCCATTAACTAAACTGGCCACAGAGGATTTTAACTTGGAGAATTCAGGGGCATACTTAGTTCCAAGTGGAAGAAGGCAGCTCTAGATGGAAAACCAAGTTGCAAATAGACATGTAAAAAAGCATCCTGTCCAGTGGACTGTGTTTGTTTATATGACGATATAATTTTTTTTGTCTACACCCTCCCTGCCAACTCTCCTTTTCCAGTCTCGGCCTAAACCAATCCCTCCTCCTTCTAACCCTCTTTTTTTTTTTTTTTCAAGGGCTCTTTATTGGCTCTAAAAGGGGGAAGGGATGGCAAGAGATGATTGGCTGAGTGAGGGTGGCATTGCCCTGCCCATTCCCCTCCCACACCCTCCTTAGAGAAACAGCTGGAATGAGAAGTAGGGAGGGAAGGCTGGGATTGGCTGAGAGTCAGTGGCAGGGTGGGGTGAGCCAGCACAGATGAAGCATTTACCTGTCCAGGTAAGTCAGGAGGAGGTCAGAAGAAGAAAGCAGTAGGAGGCAGGGGAAGCAGTCTCTGTCTCCATCTCTGCCCTTTGACGTAGAGGGTATCTCTTTCCCCTCCTCAGCCCCCTACTCAGTGAAGGTGAGTTAATCGCTAACCAACTATTGCTTATTCTGTAGTGGGATGAGGGGGCCTGCTTTGTGGGGATTCAGAGCTATGGTGTTGTAGGGAGCCCTATACACCCCAGCTAGGAGGCTTTACTCTCTGTTCCTCCATTCTCAGAATCCAGTTGGGGATCAGAGAGGTTGGATTGAAGTGCTTTTGTAGAGACCAGGGCTGGAATGCATTTTTTTTTTTTCATCTGCCTCTTTAGGTTGGATAAGCAATATTGTGCAGACAACAAGAGAGCAAAAAATAGGTTTGTTTCGAAAATTTCCATTTCTGGGCAATTTAAATTGAGTTGTGACTTTAGAAGAGAACATTTAGAGTAAAGAAGTCAAAATACAGGGTGCCCCAGGGGAGAAGAGTAGTTTTCCCTTGCATTTCTAACCAGAAATTCTGCCAGGGCTTTAGCAATTTATTGGCTACATTTATTTAAGTAAAGGGTGCAGCGTGTGTGTGTGTTCAACAATGGCAATGTGATAATGGAGCTCTCCGTGGACAGGTGTGTAAGGCATGAGCTCTGCTAGGTTGTTTGTAAGGGGATGTGAGGTTTGGTTACATTGGAAAAATTCCAGCTCAGGCTACAAACTCGTCTCTGGAAAAGCCATGGATAATCTAGCTGCAGAGTCCCCTTTATTTGGGTTCAACTAATTAACTTTCTGACTTTACCTGTTAATAGACGTAGAAACTGGCAAACAGAGAGCTAGTTGGCTGTGCTGGGGCCTCACCCATATTTTTATGAATATTTCACGGCAGCATTTCTGGCTGCAGGAAAGAGGGAAGTGGGAAGACCTCCGTGTCGGGCTCCCAGACCCTGAAAACACACAAGCTCTGAGTGAATATCCAGGGGTTGGCAAAAGTTGCTTTTCAGTTGAGTATGTGAAACAGAGCTTATTCTTGTATTATTCTTAATTATTGTATTTCATGCGGACAACTGTAAGCCTACTTTTGCCAACCCCTGCATTGGGTGTCTCATCCTGGCAACTGGAGCTTTAGGCTTGAGCGTAGTCCACACCCCAAAACTGACCCAGCAAACTCACTGACTGAGGGCTGCCGTAGATGGAGAACTTGTCAGCGGTAAAGATGACCTGCAGTTTTAAACAAAGCTTTTTTGTGCAGAGAATACTTCCACCAACTCCTCCCCTCGAACACGGTGGTAGAAAGGGAAATTATAACGTTGCCTTAACACACACAGAAACTTGCCCACATGCTCATGGGGAGGGCTACACACAGTGCACTGTAGTCGTCCTGGAGATTTTTTTGGCATGTTCTCCAGCCTCAGGTGCATTTCTGGGTAGCCAGTGAAGAGCAGAGACACCAGGTCCAAGAGAAATGGGCAGCCTCCTTGACTACAGGGAGGGAGGCCGGGGAGGGGAGCCCCGGGAGGACATGGGGTGGGTTCCTGGGAGGGGTCTATTTAGAAGGTACAGAGAAACCAAACTGGAATGGGGTGAAGACCTCCCCACCCCACCCTCTTCAGGTGCCAGAATTCCACATGCTATTTATTTACTCTCCTCCAGGCTTGGCTGGCTTTAGTAGAGTAGTTAATATTTAATGGGCCTTTGCATGGTCGACCCTGACTATACACATTTCTCAACTCATTTCCTCCTCCCCGAAAGTCCCCCAGAGGTCAAGGGTTGAGAGATACAAAACTCTCACCCGAGTGTGTGTTTGTTTCTCAGGCTTTTTATCAAGTTGAAATACCTCAGGTTTTAGTGGTTGTCCCGAAACAGCTCACGGGTTTCAAGGTTGTAAAGTCGGTGGCAGGAAACATCCCAGAGCAGGCCAGACTGGTGAGGAAGGGAGGAAGTGGGGGGCGACTCTCTCTCAGGTCAGACTCTGCGTCAGAAAGCCGGGTGTGCAGATGAAGTGCTCACCCTCTGGGGCTCACGGAGCTTCAGTTTCAGGTTCAGACTAGTGTCTGCAGTGGTTGTGGAGCTTCTGATAATAGGATCTTCAGTGGCATTTGGTATAATGTCTTTACTCTGGAGATACTCCTTGTTGGGGCCAAACTGGGCCTGGAAACATAAAGCTTGACTAGATAAAGTACAAGGTTTAAGGCGTGAGTGAGGAGGAGGGTGACTGTAAGGCGTCTCATGTTTAGTCAGGGGTGGCCAATGACCCTTTAGGCACATGGCCCTCTGCATCTGGAGGGCCAGGGTCCACAGGCTGCCCTGTAGGTGCAGGTGGAGGTCATTCCTTCCTTTCCTTAGGGAGGGGAAGTGGGAAGATCAGCTTCCCATCTGTCCAATGGAAATATCACATCCTGCCTCAGTTATCAGGTTCCTTTGAAGATCTAATTAATATCTAAAGGGCTTTATAAGTTATGCCGTGCTATGGTTTTCGAAGCAGTGCCGTTCACACTGTGTCTCTCTCTTCCAGCTGCTTCGGGCCATCCTGGCTCTGCAGTGAGAGTGTGATGGGTGCCCGGGGGGTGAGGAGGGGCTAGTAAACCACTACAAAGGCTGAAGTGTCCTTGGGAGGACAGGGGTAGTAATTTTCTCTAAAAGGAAGAGGTAGCATCGTCTCCCCCATTCACAGAGAATATTACAGTAATTATAGTGGCCACTCTTAATATTCACTGCCCCAGTTTTACAGATTAGAAAACGAGCCAAACACTGGACCCTTCGATCTACACCCACTTCTTGGAAACAGTGCATGCCCCATGCCTGTTAGTTTAACCGAAAGCATTGCCCAAATTTCATTGAGCCACATAGTCTCTGGGAAATAAAATAGTTTACAGAGAACTTATAGTAATAGGGTAGAAGCCAGAAATGAGGTCTTCCAGTAGCTCAACTCAACAGACACTGAAATGGGTGACAGTTTATTCATCTAGCATTTCTTGAGCACCTTCTGTGTGCCCAGGCTTATGAAAGATGAATTTCGTCGGCTATAATGTCCTCAATCCCATAGAATGTTAAGAATGAGTTAGTACTATCTGAACCTAGACAGTCATCAATGGAGTGGATGGATGAGGTGACTGAACTTCATTCACATGACTTCTCATGTTTCTGTTTCTTTGGGGTTCTAGATATTGGGGAACTAACCTCATGAAGGAACCCTAAGACCTATCTTACCCATTGATGACTTATCATTGGGCATCTTTGGCATCTCTGTCCCTTCTGATTCCCTCTCTGTCTCCTGAAAGGCTCTGGACCCTCATAAACTACGTGTGTCATTAGGATCATCCCCCTTCATTCCTCATTGTCCTGTCCCTCCCTACCTGCTCCACCTGAGGGCCTTCTCCCAAGCAGGAGAGGAGGTCTGTGAGGCCTTGTGCTTGTCAGCTCTGTGGAGTTGGCAGGCCAACACACCCAGCACTGCCCAAACCTGACTTTGGCATTGAGAGCAGTTATTGGCAAAGGGACAACGAGCCCTGGAATCCAAACCCCAAGTCCTAAGACCTCAAATAGAACACATGTTTATAGGACATTTTTCCTAGTATTGGGAGGGTAGGAAAGATGGTAGAATATAAAGTATAGTTTCATGGGGGAAATATGGATTCAGAATCAGACTATATTCTACTGCTCCTTCAACTTCTCTGTTTGGTGTGTCTTTTAATCTTTATTCTTTTAGAATATTATTTTCATAAAGGAGAGTCATCCTGGCCTTTCCAACTCTGCTGGAGTGTCTCCCACAAACAGACATGGGAAAGTTCTATGACTTTCAGAAGGAAGATGGCCTTGCCTTCCTTTGCTATTATTATTAGCACAATGAATCTGAAATTTTTTCCTAGGAGTTGGAGTTGGGAGGAAGCTATATAGGACATTTCTCTTGTTCATTGGACGCAGGTTAGGAAACCTCATTTGAATAAGTTCAGCAATAGAGGGGGTGGTGCACAAGAGGGAAATTGGGTGGGTGCCAACCACTGTAGGTGCTATGCATATGTGTCCCAAGCCAGGGAGATGATGGTGGCCGCGGTGCTGGCTGTTGTGGTGATGTTGGTGACATTAACTTTGATAGCAGCTGACAATTGGGCCATGCACTGCACAAGTGTTTTACATGAAGCATTTTGTTACAGCTTCAAAAAATAAACCAACAACCCTGTGAAGTAGGTACTTTTAAGGACCCTGTTCCTTCTTTTAAGCCTATAGTCCCCCATTTACCCCGAACCTTCTTTTCTAAACTCTTGTCTTCTTTTCTTCAATTTATTTTGACCCCAGATAGATTTTGTCTTTTTCTTAGTATGAGAACAGTAGTAGTTGGTTATTCGTTGTTTGAATATTTACTACCAGCTACTCTATGCTAACTGTTCTTATTTAATCCTTACATTAACCCCATTTAATGAGGAAAAACAAACTCAGAGTTATTTGTCTCAGCACATAATTGTAAATGGCTAAACTGGAACCCAGATCCAGCTACCTCCAGAATCCAAGCTATTAACCCCTATAATATGTATTGTTTATAGTAATAAGAATGTAGACTAAGCTCCTAGTTCAGAGAAAAAGGTGACTAGAGGAAGTGATGGAATTTCCTTGACTAGATTGCTTCTCTACTACCTAGTCCATCCTTCTGCATGTACGTGAACTGGCTTATGTGTCCCTCCATGCAGGCTGGGGGGTTGGGTTTGGGTAACGGCTGTCCACGGCCCCTTCCAGCTCTTTGCTTGCTTGGTGTCGCTGCCGCCATGGCCAGAGCCCAGGCCTGGCTCACACGTGGCTTTGATTCTTTTGTTTCAGGCCCAGCTTGGGACATTCCTCGCTTCTCTCCGCTTCCCCTCTGGGAGCCCTTTCACCGTCCCTGCACCTTGCTTCTGGCAATGCCGGAGAGGGAACTGTGGCCAGAGGGCCCTGGCTCGGAACCCGCGACCCACATCGGCAGCTGGGACAGCATGACGAGCACCACCTCCACCCGCTCTGGATCTGTACGTACTCTCTGTCCTGCAACCTGGCCCGCTCTCTGCACACCTGCCCTGCCCTGCCCCGCCACCATCATCCTGGCTCACTGCTCCGCTCTTTCATCTTCCTTGTCGGGGAGTGAATCATACCCGCCGATGCTGTCTGCCTCTGAGTCACCCCTGGTTCTATGGAGAAAAGGGTGGGACAACCCCAGAGCGCAGTAGGACAAATGAGAATTTTTCCAGTTTTCATTAGGTGGAGGGTCTGAGTTGAGGTGAGAGAGCAGGCCAGTGATCTGAGGACCTGGTGGAAGCTACAGTGTAGATCTTCGTAGCACATGAATTCCTGAGGTTCTTTGCAATTAGCAACATCACTTCAGTTTTTAAAAAGATCAAAGAGAATAAAGTAATTAAGAGCCTGGGTTCTGGAGCTAAACAGATCTGGGTTCCCTAGTATAAGCTGTATGACCTTAGGTGAGTTCCTTAATTTCTCTAAGTTTCAGTCTCCTTAGTATTAAAATAGGGATAATATTAAAAATGAATCGATAGGGTTCTTGGGGGGAAGTAAATACAATACATAGAGAGCACATAGCCTGTGCCTCTGTGTAAAAAAGAAATAGTCTCTGTATGAGCAGAAATTGAGACTCTTCCAAAGTCACTACGTTTCACTATTTATGAGTGGCACACAATAAATTTTAATGTTTCTGGGCGTGAATTTAAATCTTAATTGTTGTATGACTGGTGTGAAAAAGTAAATCTGCCCAACGTCCAAAAGTAAATATTCCTTTTTTGTTGGAATTCATCACATACATAATAAGGCCTAAGAATGTATAGTTTATGGCTTTATATCCTCTAGATGTATTTGAAAATTTAAATATTATAAAGGTCTCTACTGTATGTCAAAGATGTTTAATATAGTCAACGAGCCCTGGCTGGTGTGGCTTAGTTGGTCATCCTATATAACAAAAGATTGCTAGTTCAATTCCCAGTCACAATGCATATGACAGGCAACCTATCGATGTTTCTCTCTCTCTCTTTAACTCTCTCTCTCTCTCTCTGTCTCTCTCTCTCTCTCTCTCACACACACACACACACACACACACACATCAGTGAAAACATATCCTTGGGTAAGGATTAGAAAGAAAAAAATAGAGAGAGAGTCAATGAGTTTTGATGTGTAAAAATGTATTAGAAAAAGCAGCACACACACAAACATGCAAAATCTGAAGTGCAGGCAATCTGTATATTTCTTTTTGACTTTTGATAATAGGGCCACAGAGACAATATGAATAGTTACCTATCACTAGATGCAGAGGATGACCAGGATTAAAGGTCTTCCAAGAGAATCATCCACAAAGGAGTTCAGAGCTGGCTTATGTCTGGCAAGGCTGTTTTAAGTGGAATTTGACAGTAAAGAAGAACTTTGTTCAGAGAACCCCTGGAGTCAGCTTCAGGGCTTCCAAGGGCCCTGTTTGGGGCTTCCCTTGTCATGTGGGCCGCACTCAGCCAACAGACAGATGGCTCTTGAAGGAGTCTGGGGACTGGAAGGGTTATTCCGGCAGCCATCTTTCCTCTTCCCAGGGAATTTTTAGGGCTATCCCCAAATCTTTCCTGGCCATCTGAGTGGGTCTGGAGAATATACAACTCTGAGCGATCTCAAATAATAGGAAGAGGGGTGAAGATGCCAGGTAGGGACTCAGGCCAAATTTCACGTATTCCCATTTGCCTTTTGGTTTTCCCTTCAACCTTCTTGCTTGGAGAGCAACTGTTCCACGGATCTTCCTGGCCTGTAGAATATGGGCAGTGACCCTCTGACATGACCATAGCACCTTTCCCCCGGACATTCCTATTGGCTTTCTCATACTTAAAATTACTCATTTACTACCTACTTAATATTTAATACTAAGTTGCTTTCTCCTCCCCCTTGTACTCGTCCAGTTTCTTCCCCCTCCTGCTTAAGTTAATATTTGCTTAAGACGTGCACACTTATTTGAATGTTAGCAAAGCCAAATAACATAAAGAAAGTAAATACACAAGGGGAAAAGTCATGTGTGGAATGCATTTCAGAGTCCAGTACTAATTATTTAGTAAATGTATCTGTGGCTAGTCATACCACTGTTCCCACTGGCCTGGCAGCCACCAGTTGGCTACGTTTCCTGTTTGTCTTCCTACCGTCCTTGACATGCCAGGTCAAGTAGGCAGAAGTACTTCGAAAAGTCAAAAGCGATACCATTCAAGTTGAAGGTCAAATCTGTATGTCGTTCATATAATCTAGAGCTAAATCAGAGACACACAAAGTGAAATATTTGACATAGGTCACAGAGAAATTGGGATTAGAACCTGAGACTGCTTCTGATCCGCGCCCCTAAGCATTCTCCCCGGGACTGAGCGACAGAAAGGCCACTTGCCATGTGCCTGCCCAGCTAGCAGAGCTGGTGCTAGTGGGACAGCAGTCCCTGCTCTCCCGGCGGCCTGCAGTTTCAGGAAGCCACTCCAGCAAGTTCGCAGAAGCCACCGCAGAAGAGTTTCCAGATCTTCAGCATTCCTTCCCCAGTGCAGGCTGCTTCTCAGGCCCCGCCAGTTTCTGCAGCGTTTTCTCTCACAGCCTCCTTCTCTCCTTCCTCCTGTCCTCACTCCAGAGCGACAGCTACGACTTCCTGTCCGCTGAGGAGAAGGAGTGTTTGCTCTTCCTGGAGGAGACCATTGGCTCCCTGGACACTGAGGCTGACAGCGGACTGTCCACGGACGAATCAGAGCAAGGCACAACTCCCCAGAGTCCCCGCGCACTGCCCACACTCCAGCCGGCTCCCCGGGGTAAGAGGGCCTGTCCGGGGTAGCACCTCTAGTGAAACCCAGGAAATCTGAACATCCTTCCGGCCGCTTTCCACGGTGTGTGCTGTTTGCTCTAAGGGCCACAGGCAGAAGAATGAATGACCACATGCCTCTCCACTCTCCTGGCTAGAATCAAGCCTTGTTTCTGGGGAGAAGGAGGGACTGTTCACAGCCACCTTCCTATGGCTTTCTATATGTATCGGAGGCCTGGGAGGGGAAGGGGTTTGACCAGCTCCCATCCACTCATGGAGAAACTCTAAGCAGAAGTGAGGGAGGGGTGGGTGGTTGGCTCTGGAGATACTGAGTCAGTCTGGGGAGCTAATCTGGGTGGCCCAGAGGCTGAGGCTGCAGGAGATAAGAACAGGGAAGGGCTCCCTTAGCTTGAGTGGGTGGCACCCTAAGGCCCTTGTGAGAGAGTGTGGAGAGCCAGTGGCGTTGAGGCTCAGGAGAAGGCCAGGCCGGCACATGAGTGCGGCCGTACATGTGGGGCCATATATCCCAGGGTGGGGTGGGCACTTGACTGCAGAGGAGAGTCCAAGGCTGCAAGCATTTATTTCTTCATTTAGCAAATACTTGGTGGCGGTGTGTTAGACCTTCCCTGCAGCTAGAGCAGTAAATGGGAACGAAGCTTCACTGCCCCCCGAGACTCGTTACCTGGCTCCCTGGGAGGAAACAGCCCACGTCACTCTCTGGTGTGGGGACAGCTTTGGTCATTACAGAATCATCCAAGTGCTCATAGCAAGTGCAGGTAGAATAAGGTGAACCCCACCAAGAGCGAAGCACCTGTCCATGCTGTTCGTGTTCAATTCTCCCATTGGACTCAGCTACCTGGGAGCCCTAAAATAGCTAGAGGGACTGTCCTGAATCTCTCCCAACCCTGGTGCACCTGTTGAGGGTTGGAAAGAGCCAGCTGCCTCTGGCTGCCCCTTTAAGAGCAAAAAAAACTAAAACAAAACCCATCTATGCAAATTGGAGATCAGAGTTCAGGAAATATTTGCATTTCCCTTGGCAACAGGGTTCTCACCTCTGTCCTCTCTTCTTTGCCTGTTCTCCCGGGCCCTCACAGGACAATCAGAGGAGACCATCACTCAGCAAAGACTAGAGCCAAAGAGAGCGACTCAGTCCAGCTTACCCCATCTGCCTGAACCCCAAGGCCTGGGCTTCAGATCCGGCTCCTACAGCCTCCCCAGAAATATCCATATTGGTAGAAACCAGAACTCCTGGAAGAGCACCACCCAGACTAATAGCCACCTGCCTGGGAACCCTGAGCGGCTCACCCCAGACCCTGAGAGAGAGCAGGTGAGCCAGAGCAGGGAGCCTAGCCAGGCTCCGGCCGGGCCCCGGGAGGCTGTGCTCGACCTGGACACAGCTCTCATCCCCCCTCCAGAGGCCTTCCGGGACTCCCAGCCAGGGCAGTGCGGGGAAGACAGCCTGCCCAAAGGGCCAGGGCAGAAGACCCCCGCGCCCCAGCTCCTCACGGCACTCGGCCCCCAGAAGAGAAAGGAGACTGTTTCAGAGACCATGTCCCAACAGGCCAACGAGAAAGGCTTAGCAGGGGCACCAGGACAACCTCTGCCGCCTCCTGCCCTGTCGTCTCAGGCTGCCTCTGCTCCCCCCCCATCAGCGGGGACTCCACATGCCCAGTTGGCTCCCCTGACAGCGCCTAAGCCCCGGAAGCTGCCACCTAATATTGTTCTTAAGAGCAGCCGAAGCAGTTTCCACAGCGACCCCCAGAGCTGGCTGGGCCGTCACTCTGAGGCGGCCACTGGAGACTCGGGCCTGGTCTCCTCGTCACTGCAGGAGCAGAGGAAAGCCCGCAAAGAAGCTCTAGAGAAGCTGGGGCTACCCCAGGACCAAGATAAGCCCAGCCCCCACTTAAGTAAGCCCACCAGCTCCATCAGACTCGGGGGGACGCGTACTCAGACCCCTTCCCCAGCTCTCGCTCCTACTCTGGCTCAGCCTGCAACTCAGGGCTCATCAGCTGTGCCTGCTGCAGGGAAGTCTTCAGCTCCTGCTCCAGCCCGAGGACCTTCTCCAATGAAGGCTCCAGCTCCAGCTCCAGCGTCTTCTCCAGGCAAGGTTTTCACTCCTGCCCAGGAACCCACCCCAGGGAAGGTTCCAGCCGCCAAATCCATGCCAATTCCCATCCCTACAGCCCCAGGGGTAAATAGTCCCCTGACTCAGCCAAAGCCAAACGCTGGGCTGACTCTGCAGGAGAGCAGCATCCCTGGCCTGAGACAGATGAACTTCAAGTCCAACACCCTGGAGCGCTCAGGCGTGGGGCTGAGCAGCTACCTCTCCGCCGAGAAAGACCCCAGCTCCAAAACCAGCACCTCCCTGGGAAAAGACTCCTTCTTGAACAAGATCTCACCCAGTGTCTTGCGTAATTCCCGGCCCCGCCCTGCCTCCCTGGGCACAGGGAAGGACTTTGCAGGCATCCGGGTGGGCAAGCTGGCTGACCAGGAGCAGAAGCAGAGCTCCAAGCGCCTGTCTTACCAGGGACAGGGCCGTGACAAACTGCCTCGACCCACCTGTGTCAGTGTCAAGATTTCCCCCAAAGGCATCCCTGATGAGCACAGAAAGGAGGCTCTGAAGAAGCTAGGACTGTGGAAGGAGTAAAGTAGGCCACCAGCGCTGCCCGCACAACCTCCTCCCTGCCTCCTGCCGTACAAGACACTCGGCTCCACCTAGGAGCCTTGCCCACCTCACTGTGACTCGGGGGTTGGGCAGGGGTAGGTTTCTCTCCGATGCTGTGCTCTCTGAGGTGAAGGGGAAGGAGAGATTGGAGTCCAAGCCTACGCTTATATTTAGGGTGTTTTTGCCAATGAGTACCTGAATGAATCATCCTGAAGATGATGTCCACAAAAGTGTGTGTGTGTGTGCGTGTGCGTGTGAGTGTGTGTGTGTGTGTGTTTTAGGCTGTATATATCACTGAAGCTATTTATATGGCACAGAAGTCATTGCTGAGAATTCTGCTCATGTTGGAGATCTTTGTACACTGGGTAGAGTTCAGCCTGAGCAGAACTGAGTGGAGAGGGGTGGCTAAGCCTTAGAAAAAATGTCAGATGAGACCATGGATGTGCCAATGGCATTAGGCAAATGTAGTGTCACCTGAAATGTGGGTCTCCTGGAATTCCTGCAGTGCATACAGACTGGCTCACGCCCTGCTGGATCCCTGTCTTGGTTCTGGCCTTCTGGGCAAGAGCCTGGGGCCAAGAGGAGTTGCTTTGTTGTCTCTTCACCAGCTTCCTTGTCCCTGTCACCCGTCCCAAGAACAGGACTTGTTCCTGTAACTAAACCTCTGGGCTGATTGAGAACGGCAGAGCTCTTGTTGGTCTGAGAAAGAAGGATAAGTGACCCAACAGCACACCTCCCCTGGGGAGGGTCCTTGTCCATGGACTCAATAAATTCAGCGATAATCTGTGTTGTGGCCCCTGCTTCTGTGATTCCTGCTCCCTGTCTCAGGCTGCTCATGACCGACCCCAGCACTGGGCCAACATGGAGATGGGAGCCGGAGCCCAGAGGCTGCCAGACTCCCAGCACCGAAGAGCTGTTTCGGGCTCGCCCACGCGGCTGCAAGTAGTTCTTAACTGCTCAGCGCCCATGGACAAATCAACCCCATACGTTCTCTGCTAGTTATTCATAGAGTATCAGAGCTGGGAGGGGCCTTGGAGATGCTCAAATCCAACTTTGTTGGGGAAGGAAAGTGACTCATCCATGGCCAATGCCGCTTAGTAACAGCGCTGGGACCAGAGCTGGGCTCCTGATCCCCATCCAGGCTGCAGGCTGCCTCCCCGCAAGCAGTACTTGTGCGCATCCATACAGCTCCCCAATGGCCCTTCCAGATCCTGAAGTGTCTCCCGAAACATCAGAGATTAAATGTTATCTGTGTCCTATTTCGTGCTGTGGCTTTTTATTTTATCTTTGGAAAGTAGCTGTAGAGTAACTCATTATTAACCCTAAATTTCCTGACCAAGTTATGCAACTTGAAAAAATGCCCGAAGGAGGTAATACGATGGGGGAGGGGGGGTGCCAGCTTGTGAAGACAGGCTTGAGGATCAGACATGGCTAGACATGCCTCCTGCTTCCCCTTAGAAAAGAAATGGCATTCGTGGCTGTGACCTGGTTCCAGTCCAGGACACCCAGATGTGGGGGGCAGATAAGGGGAGGAAACTCTGCTTGGCAAGGTGCCCCTTAGGTTGGCAGAGCTCTTTCAGGCTGCGTCCCGAGGAACCTAGCACCGTCAAAGCGCCTGGTTTCTGAGCACGAGAAGGTTATGGCAGGGACAGCAGGTAGCTTGCTCCACCCTGTCACGGTATGTGGGGTGTGGGTGTGATGGTTTCTGTGTACTCTCTCACACACACACCCCAAAGCCTGGTGCCTTCCTCCTGCCCTGGGTGAGGGCCTGGCCTGTCACAACCCACAGGGACTTCCACCTCTGGCCAAGCCAAGTCTTATCACGGACTCCCCAAAGGAGAGAAGCCCCCCCCCCCCCCCCGCCACACACACAAGAGGACTGAGTGCACACGCTGTATTTGGTTGAGCAGCTTCATGTGTATATTTCAAGACACAACCTGAGAACAATCACTTTATTTTTTATTAACCGCCCTGACAAATAGGGACACTTGGGATTGGCTGTAAAGTAAGACTTGGTAGGAATCTGAGGCCCTGGCTCCAACTCGAGGCTGACTGACACAGGTTGGTCAGGAGTATCTCCTGCTAAATCCCCACTCCCTGATAAAGGTCATTTCTCTCCAGACTGAACAGAGTTACATAGAGTCGGCCCTCCAGCCCTATGTTCTCATCATACTGGGGTGCCTGCTTCCCCAATTCTCTCAATTTGAGAGACCCCCCCCCCTTTCCTTGGTATTCAAAGAGGCCATGCATCCCATGTCCTCATCCTTCAAAGCATGTTTCTCTCTGGATGGTCTTTGGGACTCAAGAACAAAATAGTAAATCCAAACCCAGCTGTCCTCACTACAAAGATGGGCAAAGGGATCCCCGGGAGGGCATCTGCCATACTGAAGGTGATGTTAGACCCACCTGTGGAATTTATCTTCGTCTTGTATGTATATATGATTGCTCTTCATTCGCCTTGAACTGAGTGGGTGGGAGGGGAGAATGTCTTCGGGGTTGTTCTTATCTCTTTTTGAAGGATTTTGGGTGCAAGTGTGTAAAGGTCAGTCATTTGATTTTAAAAACCAAAGCGACAACTCTACTTCCACTTGACCTTGTATCTCTGCTATACCCTGCTGCAGTCTTGCTGCTGCGGGCAACACACCATCTGCCACATCGAGGAGCTGGCCTCTCAGCCTGGCACGTGGGGTCTGTGCCCTCAGATATATTGGCAACTGCTCCTCTGAATCACCATTCAGGTGCTACTCTGCACCATGACTCCGGGGGGGCAGGCCTACGTGCAGTCCTGCACAGAGGTTGGGGGAGCAGCCCGGCGTATCTAGGTGCCTCCCTTCACAGTGGGAAATGCGGTCTGGTGCGGTCTCCCTGTAGTCTGGTAGTCTGGTATGCAAAAGTTGGTGTTTATTCCACAGAAGGAAGGGCAGGTAGAAGGCTGGAGAGCAGGCCCATTTGATGTTATGAGTCAGAGCTGGAGGTGAAGATGTCAGAGTCCACAATATGGGTCATTGTGTGAGGGGAACCACTCCATTCTTTGATCCATGATCATACATGTAGGAAGAAAAGGATCACACTATCATAATATGAAGCTGTAGGCTCATAGACTAGAGGAGGTAGAGACCAGGGGCATGAACAAGATAAGTTATTTTCATCTCAGCCAGAATCTAAGAGGGAATGCAGATAAAATGCTCCCAAGTTCTTTTCCTCATGCAAGTGACTATGGAGCATATAGATCTGGGTGCAGGTCAATGTCTATCACTTACCAACCGGGGAACCCTGGAACTTCCTGAACCTTTTCAAGTTCTCAATCTGTAGCATGGGGATAATGCCATCCTTTTAAGATTGTGGGGATGAACAAGTGCTGTAAACTATGTAAAGTCCAGTGCTTGACACTGTGTAGTGATTCCATCAATGATAGTATGGGTTTCTGGATCGTCTTCCTTCCTTCTCACAGGAAGCAAATGTAGGAAGGGAGGAAGTCAAGAGCGCCCTTGGTCCAGCACTGGGAGGAAATGGGAGAGATCTTTCTGCAAATAAAAGTCCAAAGTAATAACCAGGCTTTGGCACACCTTCCAGGTGCCTCATCTTCAACCACATCATGATTCTTGGAATTTGAAAAGAAAGGGATTAGCATCATTCTGGTGTTTGTGCCTCCATGAAGACTGAATCATCTGTTTCCAGCTTTCTCCCAAACTCAGCTTCTCCTTTACAATCAATTTCTTGAAACCCATGACTATATAGTGTGCTTCCTTTAATTTTCTTTTGCTGTGTGGTTCAAAGAACTCTATGCTATCCAATAGTTATATTTTAAATGGAGGGAAAGAATAAACATATATAATAGGAGGGAACTCTGGCAACCATCAGAAGGATGATACTGAAAAAGGTTTCAAGATTCTTGGGGCAGTTTTTAAAAATAGGGTATGCATACTTTAGGAATGAATCAGGCATTAGTTAACAGGAGGCAAGAAGGTAAACTGGATGACCTCTCCAAATATGACCTCTTCTGATACAAGAGCCATACAATGTACTGGACTCATTATCATTATTGCCATCACCAGAATCACCACCGTTCTTGTCATCGCTGAGATAGCGTACAAGTGAGATAAAACTGGGTGATGCTCTAATTCCAGCCATCATTCCCTTCCTGCTCATTGCCTGCTGAACGGTTGTTCTTATTCACCACTTGCTGTGTACTCAGAGTTCAAAATAATCCGAAGCAAAATGATATCCTAACAAAACTCTGGACTACGTGAGCTTCAGTAAGAATGTATGTTTCAATAAGACCAAACAACTTAATTAGGAAGACCAACATCCTGCCAAAAATAATCACAGTATAATCTAAGGTGAAAGATACCTCATATAATCTAAGAGCTGGAAGGAATTTTTTAGGTTATCTCATCCAATCCCCTATCTAAAGAAGAATTATGCCTATAAGTGGATATATATATAGTGAGAAAGATGGATGGATAAACAGGTGGGTGCATGGATGGGTGGGTGGATGGGTGGATGGAGAGATGGATGGAAGAGGGGAGGAGAAGGAGGACTTGAGAACATACAGTGGTCAAGAGCAAAGGCTTAAGAGTCAGGCTGCCAGGTTTCCTACACCTGTTTTCTTTTCAGTGTATTTCTTTTTTATTCCTCTGCCTCCCTCTGTTGTGTGCTGCCCTACGGTTTTTTGGTTTAAAAACGGAGTAAAAATACGAAACTTACAACAGGAATGAACCCTCTAGAGGCAATAATCATACTTACTTGTTGCAGTTGTTATGAGAATAAAATCAAATAAGATAATACATATAAAAAAACACATCTAATTGCTCAATAAAAGAAATCTATTAATATTATCATATACATATATAGTTCAAATGCCAAATGGGTCCCCTTTGAAGAGTGGATTTTTCTCAGCCTACACCTAAATTTCTCAGCCTGAAACAGTCATAAGAAATATATATTTGGTTTTCATCCCCACTTCTGGCTCAGAGATCCTAAAACCCTTGGAATTTCCTGTGAGGAGAAGGATAAAGGTGTGTTTTGTTATTTCAATGAGTGACTTTTGAAAAACCCCAAGGTAACCTAAGGATGGAGGCTGACCACCTGGGAACGTTTAGTCCCGCCCACCCCACTTCTGGGGAAAGTAGAGGAGCTGAAGACTGAGTTTAATTGCCAATGGTCACTGATTTAATCAATCAGGCCTGTGCAATGAAGCCTCCTTACAAACCCAAGAGGACAGAGTCCGGAGAGCTTCCAGGTGGGCGAACCGGAACGTTTTCCACCCCAAGTGCCATGGGAACAGAGCTCCTTTGTTGCAGACCTTGCTCTATGTATCTCTTCATCTGACTACTAATTAAAATCTTTAATATGTTTTGTAATAAACTAGTAATCCAAGCAGTAAACTATTTTCCTGAATTCAAGCTGTTCTTACAAATTAATCAAACCCAGTGAGGGGATCATGGGAAACTAATTTACAGTGTGTTGGTCCGAAGCACAGGTAACAACCTGGACTTGCAATTGGCATCTGAAGGGGGAGGGGTGCAGTTTTGTGGGACTGAGGCCTCAACTTGTGGGATCTGATGCTCTCTCCAGGTAGACAGGGTCAGCACTGAGTTGAATTGTAAGACACCCAGCCAGTATTTGTTAACGTAGGAAACATTCAAACTGGTGAAGAATTTTGTGAGTTTAATTGAGCCAAACTGTCGACAAATGCTGGGAGGCAAAACCTCAATGGAATGAGATAACGCTCTGGAGAATGGCAGTTTTGCTCCTTGATGTATACATTACAATCTAAAGAGAAGTCGTAAATAGGTTACATGAAATCCACTGGTGATAGATCAGGGAGGTGGGAGAAAGCAAAGTGAGGAAATCTCTGGGATTGGATAAAAAGTAAAATGATAGACACCTCTTTCTACAACCATGGGTACAGGATTGTTAACAGTCAATGATAAGTATGATAATAATAACAATGAGGGGATTTGTGTTTCCACCCCGGTGCATAGGTTGTGCCCTGAGGGGTCTGGAAAAAGGAACTTACCCCACATGCCAAAGGTATGTTATCTTAGATGCAAAAAGACAATAGGCTCCTTTAAGGTGAAATATGACCTTTGTCTGAGAAGATTCCAGCCTAGGACATGACTACCTGCCACAAACTGCTTTTAGTTAAAAAGTTTAAACTTCAAACCATCCTTTGTGGTTAGATCTCTGAGTTTGCAAGGCCGCCACACAGGACTTCCCTGAGCTTGT